CACCTAAACAATTGCCAGTTTCACAGCTCTCTCGTAAATAGTGATTTACGAGAGAGCGTAAATCTCGAGATTTACGAGCGAGAGCGAGAATAGTGATATATATATATATATATATATATATATATATATATATATATATATATATATATATATATATATATATATATATATATATATATATATAATGTTGTGTGCCGGTGGGGAGATGGAAATAGCCTCGGCTACCATCCTCTTTTGTCCGGTCGTGTTAGTCGAGTGGTTAAGGGATCCTGTACATCAGATGCATTGCCAGCAACCAGCATAGCTGGTACGCCTTTAACCCACTACACCAAACTCAGACCCAGTTGCTGTGAAGCATCTGTGCTGGCTAGGATTCGAGTCTCCTGGTCTAAAAAGTTTAACACGCCTTGTATTTTCTTATCACTTGAGAATGAACCATGTAGGTTCGAAACGCTGTGTTAATTTTACAATAAATGTAATACATTCTACAGTTATCTATTTGTTTTTCTTCACCTCGAACGAAGATGACCTTTGGAAAACTCCTCTTTCAATTAAACCAAGATGCTGGAACACTAGTCAGAGGGATAGAAGCCCTAAACAAGAAAATAATCAATACAGAATATGCAGTCATATTCAATGAAACATGTCTTAGGTCCCGAGCAGGAATATCCCCGAAAAAAATGAAACATGTATAAATGAAAATCTGCTGCCAGTATCTTATCTTGAGATGTTTGAGATGATTTCAGGCCTTAGTGTCCCTGCGGCCCGGTCCTCGACCAGGCCTCCAATACAATATACACCAATATAAAGCCACATGACCCAGCAGTCCACAATGCAGAGCTTACCTATAGGTATAGGCAAGAGCTCATACAGCATCAACTAAACACGAAGAAGGAAGCCCTCCAAAGTTTTAGAAAACAGGCTGAACAGCAGTTAAACAAATGGACCCAGTACGACCAACTCAAGCAAACCATCAACAGTGAACTACTCATCTAAAACAACACAAAACCCATGTAGAAACCAAGACTCTCCGAAAGTTGACAGCCCTAAACGGTGGACCGTTGAAGATCCCTCGCCCAAAAGATGGCTACATGAACCTCAACTCCTACGATCTTACTCAGGACCAACAGGACCTTTTGAATCTTGGTCTAAACTGTTAGTTCTTGTCAAAACCAAAAAAGCATTAAAAACGCCTTGAAATCGAAATGCTTCTAGACGATATTCATAAGTTAGAAGACAACAAAAAAGTCCTCACCACTGACACACTTCAGGCTGAACTACTAACAGAGGCAGGAAATAAACGAGGAACATACTCATCAACAATCTTAACCCCACGACTCAAAGAAGCAGCACAACAACTAAGAAACCTGAAAGGTGTAACAATAAGAAAGGCCGACAAGACAGCAACATACGTGTTGATCCCTACTCAAGAATACATGAACAAAATTAGCGACATCCTCAGTGACGACACTAAATTTCAAAGAATCACGAGGAACCCTGTGGAAGACCTTAAACGCAAAGTGAATAAAACTATTACCGCAATCAACGCAAAGAAAGGTAGCGTTCATTTTACCCAACTCCAGGGCGACTATGACTTTGGATATGCCTATGGCAATGTTAAGACACAAACCAGGATACCCACTTCGCCCAATAATCAGCCAAATACTAACTCCAACCTACCACCTGCCAAAAAGGCTTAATGAACTATTAACTCCATACACTTCCAGCAACTACAGTCTACAATCATCAGCAGATTTCCTGGAAATAATCAAAACTACACAGCCCGATGGAATTATTGCTTCACTGGACGTCGAATCCCTATTCACCAACGTCCCGGTCGACACCACCATAGAAATGATACTGGACAGTGTATACAGAGACGAAAGCCCCCCAAATTAGACACACCCGAGCCACACTTGAAGAGTCTGCTCGTATTGTAATCCCCGAATTCGGAGAGAATATTAGCTAGAGAATCATTACTACAACACTAAACAAATGATGAGTGGAAGTATATGTTAAGTATACAGACTGTGGTCACACATCGAGGAAAGGTCAAGGGATTAAGACCGCAGCTGTTTGCCCAACTATTGATTCCAGGGAAGAGGACAAAAGGTGACCTCAGGCTTCTAGGAATAAGTTGACCGACGGTTAATCGGATTATACCTTCCTTGAGAGGCGGGGTGAAATGTTTGAGGCTATGACTGGCTGAAGACAGTCTGGTTGTGGGAGTGGTACTGGCAAGTCCTCCTGATCTCCGTCTGGGGCAGCAACGAACTGGAGCTGGCGACTATGTGGGAGCCTGATGTGATCTGATTGACCAAGTTAAGTCTGCAGTATGTGAGTATTGAATGTAAGACTAAATGGGTGTGTAGTGTTATGATAATCATTCAGTATTGGGGACTTAGACGGAAGTTATGAGTGTAGGTGGTGACTGGGGAGTTCAAGTGGATTATGGGTGTTGGGAGTTGATTTAACCAGATAGAATATGTTAATTTGTTATTACTAGTCAGAGTCTATTCTTTGTAATTAAATGAGAAAACCAGACGGACTTTAAATACCTTCCATATGTCCCCTCATTGTGTTCCTGTACAAAGCTAGTGTTACGCCTCAAGGGTCTGGTGTCTAGAAGTACACGGTTGTTGTAACAAGGTGTTGTGTGATGTGTAGTCGCTGTGTTCGGAATGAACCGGGGCTCAGCGTCACAACACTCGAGGCATGTACAAAGGAAGCTCCTTTCATCAGTCCGCAAGGTAACATGTATCTACAAATAGACGGAGTAGCCACAGGTCCCTGCCTAGGAGTGTTATTCGCTAATTTTTACATGGGAACCATCGAAGATAGAGTCTTTAGTAGTAGACAAAAACCAATGGCTTACTGCCGTTATAAAGATGACATATTTGTCATTGAAGACCAAGATGAACTAGTTGATCTAAAAAGCCATCTAGAGAGAGTCAGTACTCCGTTTTACAAATGAAAAGAGTAAAAATAAGTCTGCCATTCCTGGATGTACTAATAACAAAAACAGGAACCTCTTTAAGCACCAGTGTTACTAAGCCTACAAACATAGGAATATGCCTGAACGGTAGGAGTGAGTGCCCCCAAAGATACAAAGCCAGTGTTCTCAATGCTTATATTCGTCGAGCGCTTACCCACTGCTCTGAATGGAGCAACGTGAGTAGAGAGTTTGAAAGAATAACCCAGGTGTTGGTGAACAGTGAATATAGCAACATAGAAATAACCACTACAATAAGACGACACCTAGAATATTGGTACAATCCTGAACCAAGAACAGAAACCACAACACCTCCATTAAAAAAATATTATAAATCCACCATGCATAGTGAACACAAAAAAGAACGAATAATGAAAGAAATAATCCGTAAAGGAGTAAAAAGCACATCTCCTAACCAAAACATAGACCTGATCATATTCTATAAAACAAAGAAGACTACCGACCACCTCATTAAAAACAGCCCGAATCCGATGGAGAACCTTTTACAGCAATCAAACATGGTATATATGTATACCTGCCCCCACGAAGGAACTAGCTTTCAATCTAAGTACATAGGTATGACGTCGACCAGGCTGACGAGGCGTTTTACCTAACATCTTCAATCAGGTGCCCCAAAAAATCACATGAGACAAGCCCATGACATCACCCTAACAAGAGAAATGTTGAATAAAAATACTTGCATAATAGATAAAACCCAAGATGTAAGAAGATTACAAATTCTTGAAGCAATCCGCATAAAAATCGAACAACCCACCATAAGTACCCAAATTACGGAACTATTCACTCTACCCACCATGAGAGTAAGAACAAGACCGGAACATGAAGATGCCAACATAGAAGACACTACTCAATATACTAGGCCTACTACACCTGATTAATCTTTGTATGTGCTGCGTTCCCTATTTTCGCCTTTTTTTTCTTTTATGCCTTACTTTTTTTCCTTTATTCTTGTCCCATTTGTATAGATCTACTTTTCACCTGACCCCTTACTAGTATAAATCTAACACGCCTTGTATTTTCTTAAATATCAGAGTAACAAGGTTATCGCGAATAACCGAACTCAATTACGGGCTCATCATAGCCCGTGCTACATGGACATTTCGTTCTGAGTAGCTAAATCTAAACAACAACAACGTATTTTCTTATCACTTGAGAATGAACCATGTAGGTTCGAAACGTTGAGTAAATTTTATAATAAGTGTACCACATTTTACAGTTATTTATTTGTTTTTCTTCGCCTCGAACGAAGATGACCTTTGAAAACTTCTTTTCCAATTAAACCAAGATGCTAGAACACTAGTCAGAGGAATAGAAGCCCTAAACAAGAAAATACTCAATATAGAATATGCAGTCATGTTCAATGAAACATGTATAAATGAAAACCTGCTGCCAGTATACACCAATATTATATATATATATAATTTAATATCCCCCCACCCCCTAGAATGTGTTGGAAACGATTTGTGGGAATTTAAATCATACAGTCCACTTTAAACATCATACAGTCCGCTATCAATATAAATAAACGTAAGAAAAAAATTACTATATACATTAATATAAATTAATAAATTGCAAATAAATTATTAAATCCCACGAGTCAGTTTACCTCCCACAACAGTGGGAGTCGAACTTGTTTCATGGTACACATTCCAGCGCCGTGTGGAAGTAATACGGAGTCAAAGAACAGTCAAAGACCGTCACGGACCAAGACAGTCACCATCTAAGACACAGTCACAGACAGTCAAAGACAGTCGCTGTCCAAGACACTCACAGTCACAGACAGTCACAGTCATTGACAGACAGACAGACATGCTGCAATAACGGTTATCAAACTCCTGTCCTTAAGTGTGCATGCGTAACTTCCCGAAGACCAATATTAACTGACTTAAGTTAGGGGAAAGGGGTTTGGGAAACACAGGCAAAAGATTGGGTAATAATTATACATACCTAAGACATAATGCGTTAAAATATAGGTAATGAGATGGTGTCATGTGAGGGACTCGAGGTTGTGACGGACTCGAGGTTGTGAGGGACTCGAGGTTGTGACGGACTCGAGGTTGTGGGGGACTCGAGGTTTTGGGGGACTCGAGGTTGTGAGAGACTCGAGGTTGTGACGGACTCGAGGTTGTGAGGGACTCGAGGTTGTGACGGACTCGAGGTTGTGACGGACTCGAGGTTGTGACGGACTCGAGGTTGTGACGGACTCGAGGTTGTGGGGGACTCGAGGTTGTGACGGACTCGAGGTTGTGACGGACTCGAGGTTGTGAGGGACTCGAGGTTGTGAGGGACTCGAGGTTGTGACGGACTCGAGGTTGTGACGGACTCGAGGTTGTGACGGACTCGAGGTTGTGGGGGACTCGAGGTTGTGAGGGACTCGAGGTTGTGACGGACTCGAGGTTGTGACGGACTCGAGGTTGTGACGGACTCGAGGTTGTGACGGACTCGAGGTTGTGACGACTTTTCTTTAAATAATGTGAAAATGTTTGATGAAAGAGGAGGGAGAGGGAAAGACCAGTACGAGGGGGTTTGAGAATAACGATAATAAAACTATCCTTACCTAAATGAGAACATTATGTAACAGTGTTAAATGCACTAATGAATACGTAATTGAGATAGATTAAAGCAAACTACAAGGTTACCAATATTGGGTTAAATAATCATGTGGAAATAAGAGGTTGGAATGATGGTACACAGAATAGCAAAAGTTGTCACTTTTCTATAAATTAAGAGAGAGACCATTCGGTGCCACATGAACCTATCATGCAGGTCTACACTTTCCGAACTATTAATAAAAAAAATTGATTACGTTCGTACGACGTAAAAATTAACGTTGTGGCTTCGTTGTTGATTTGTTAGTCAACTCGAATCGTCTCGGCGAATTTACGTTAGTAATTCACTGTTAGTGAGCTGAGAACCTCTAACTCCCGGGTGATTAGAGGTGATCTACACTTCTCCAATCTTGGAGTTATCTTGAGAGGATTTCGGGGCTTATTGTCCCCGCGGCCCGATCCTCCACCAGGCCTCCTTTTTGTTACACACACCCCCGGAAGCAGCCCGAAGGCGCTGTCTAACACCCAGGTACCTATTTACTGCTAAGTAAACAGGTGCATCAGGGTGAAAGAAACTCTGCCTATTTTTGTTTCCGCCTCCGCTGGGGATCGAACCCGGAACCTCAGGACTATGAATCCCGAGCGCTGTCCACTTAATTAAATCTTATACTCTAATCTAAGAGCTTACATCTCCTCCACCTTCATCACCCATATGTTCCCAAGTTGCTCTCAGACTCTTCAATAAAAGGGCGCTGTCCACTCAATTAAATCTTATACTCTAATCTAAGAGCTTCCATCTCCACCACCTTCATCACCCATATGTTCCCAAGTTGCTCTCAGACTCTTCAATAAAAGGGCGCTGTCCACTCAATTAAATCTTATACTCTAATCTAAGAGCTTCCATCTCCACCATCTTCATCACCCATATGTTCCCAAGTTGCTCTCAGACTCTTCAATAAAAGGGCGCTGTCCACTCAATTAAATCTTATACTCTAATCTAAGAGCTTCCATCTCCACCATCTTCATCACCCATATGTTCCCAAGTTGCTCTCAGACTCTTCAATAAAAGGCCTTTCCCAAGTCCTTAGCCTGACTCCTTCCAAATGCTACATAGTCGTAATGGCTCAAGGCCTTTCCCAAGTCCTTAGCCTGACTCCTTCCAAATGCTACATAGTCGTAATGGCTCAAGGCCTTTCCCCTGATATTTTCTTTCTTGTCCTCTCATTTCCTAACCCCATTCTTCTCCAGTCTGTTGTTATTTAATATTCGCTACGTGGAACAAAAAGTTCCAAGTAGCACGGGGTATGGTGAGCCCGTAGTTTTCTCCACTCCTGCTGCAAGCCCCACTAGCAGAGTCCGGTGAGTGAACCACGTAATGAGGTCCGGCCCTCATCAACTAGTTCTCCATTACTCTCTAACATATTCACGTCGACCGACACCACTATTCAGTCGACATATGCCCGACACCCTCAGCCTGTCATTACACCCTCCAGAAGCAACAGTCACCTCTGCTCTCCTCAACACCACCTCTGTAGCGGTATTTAAGACGGATTTTGCCCCAAACAGCATCGAACAGCACCGCTCTTGTGCCAGGTAAGTCCACTACGGGCTCACCATCGCCCGTGCTACTTGGAACGTGTTCCGAGTGGCTGAATCTATAACAACAACATCAAACAGCATAAATCAGTTTGACGCTTGTCACGTTGTGGAGCCCTGTAGACTCAGTAGCCCCCAGAGTGCTTTACAGTTTGCTCCATCTCCATCAATATACATAATTCCCGTCCTATTTGTGCTATAGAATTATCTGAATTTGTTCATAGTGCCACATTACGTGTCTCTGGGAACACGTTGACAGCTGCTTACTTTACACTTAAAAAATTATAAGAAAGTCACTTGTTAGTCACTAATTACGGTACCTGGCAGACCAAACCCATTAACAGGTGGTCGGTCTACAGGGGTTTACCTAGTTTACTGTGCTGGTTCCTCCTTCACCAGACCCGTCTACAGTGACCTCCGGCTGAGGCCTCCACGACTACTGTCCGGCCAGCGCAACTTTTGGTCCATTTGTTGGACGCAGTTCAGGCCGCAAGAGCGCCGCTACACTCCTCACCCCAGTACACAGGAGGACTGTAACCCAGGAATCTTACACCAGGCCCTCCCCCCCCACACAATTTCCCTCCAATAACTACGATTCCTGGGACTCAATGCTTGGCGACACCCCTATCCCTTCCCCTGTCCCCCTTGGCGACACCCCTATCCTTTCCCCTGTTCTCCTTGGCGACACCCCTATCCTGTCCCCCTGTCCCCCTTGGCGACACCCCTATCCTTTCTCCTCTCCTCCTTGGCGACACCCCTATCCTGTCCCCCTGTCCCCCTTGGCGACACCCCTATCCTTTCTCCTGTCCTCCTTGGCGACACCCCTATCCTGTCCCCTGTCCTCCTTGGCGACACCCCTATCCTGTCCCCTGTCCTCCTTGGCGACACCCCTATCCTGTCCCCGGCTAATCCTTGCTTACACTTACACTTATGCCCTGAGACACTGTCTCTCTGGTGACAGTGTCGCCCGGAAGGTCCGCCTCGACGGCACAGCGCCTGCCCAATCGTACCCAATGTACTGTCACCTGAGAGAACTTCGTCTGTGACGTGACTTTATAATCCGAGTTTTCTTAACTTGTGATCACTTACCGGACCTCATAACCTGTCAACAATACAACACTGCGGGCCACACTGCTGGCCACACTGCTGGCCACACCGCTGGCCACACTCATGGCCACACTGCGGGCCACACTGCTGGCCACACTGCTGGCCACACTGCGGGCCACACTGCTGGCCACACCGCTGGCCACACTGCTGGCCACACTGCTGGCCACACTGCTGGCCACACCGCTGGCCACACTGCTGGCCACACCGCTGGCCACACTGCTGGCCACACTGCTGGCCACACTGCTGGCCACACTGCTGGCCACACTGCTGGCCACACCGCTGGCCACACTGCTGGCCACACTGCTGGCCACACTGCTGGCCACACTGCTGGCCACACTGCTGGCCACACCGCTGGCCACACTGCTGGCCACACCGCTGGCCACACTGCTGGCCACACTGCTGGCCACACTGCTGGCCACACCGCTGGCCACACGCTCGCAAACACAAATTTAGCAGAACGCCGTAATATTTCAGCACATGACAAACACTCACGAAGAATTATAAGCACCGACACGTATGCAAATTTGCACCAGCAATTACGGTATATTTTGGTCTAATTGGTCCTGTAAAACAACTAAACTATCCCGAATCAACAGTTCTCTGCTTACAGCAGTCGCGGCGCTGTCTGCCTTGTTCCCCACCGATATTCACACTACACTTCGCGGTCTTTACTATGCAGAGCGAATAATGCAAGTACCCGCATCCATTATAAAAAATAAATAAATTCACGTCAATAAATTGATTGAGTGGTTATAAATAGGAGCTGCCTCGTATGGGCCAATAGGCCTTCTGCAGTTACCTTTATTCTTATGTTCAAACTAGCTACAACACGTCAAAAGTTTGCCTGTATTACAATATCCAGTCACTTCAACACTCCATAACTTGTTATTTTCCAGCGGTAGTGCTTTAAATTCATCTTGAAGCCTTTTCGCGTTTTGGTCACAGTACAGAACGCCAGGGGCCAGATTCACGAAAGCACTTACGCAAATACTTACGAACGTGTACATCTTTCCTCAATCTTCGAAGGCTTTGGTTACATTTATTAAACAGTTTACAAGCATGAAAACTTCCCAATCAGCTGTTGTTATTGTTATAAACAGCCTCCTGGTGCTTCGGAGCTCATTAACTGTTTAATAATTGGAAACAAAGCCGCCAAAGATTGAGAAAAGATGTATAGGTTCGTAAGTGCTTGCGTAAGTACTTTCGTGAATCTGGCCCCTGGTTCTCACCACACACATCACTATACTAAATTACAACTCGTCCTCACACCAGGCTCGTTAAAGCAGCGGCCGTCCTCCCCAGACGCATTCATCAATTTTAACAAACTGTGTATTAAAAATTGGTTTGTTCTCATATATAAATTAATATTATTATACATTCATATTCGATGTATAGTTAGGTTAGGTTAGGTTAGGTTAGGTTAGGTTAGGTTAGGTTAGGTTAGATTAGGTGTTTAGGTTTTGTTGGCGATTATTTGTATTTGGATAATGTGGGTGAAGCATTTACGGAATTGTGGTTCGAACAGAGGACGTGAGCGAAGCACTTGTTCCGGAAGTGTTCGGACGTCATCAGTTGTGAGTCGTGTGTAAACCGTTTTTCATTCATAAACAGGGGGGTTTGGCGGCTGGGTTAACGAGCTTGGATCTTTGTATGCGAGAACTGGTTGTAAACTGATGCGCCCAAGCAAAGGGGCCAGAAGGTCTTTGTTTCGAGTTTTGAATAAACCTGCTTAGAAACCCGGCGTGTCATCACAGTTCAGCTTACAGCCCGCAGCTCGTCATCCAAAGAATGACCCAAAAGTGATTCCATGCACCCGCCAGACCCCCTGTTTATGAGTGAAAAACGGTTTACACACGACTCACAACTGCTGGCGTTCGAACACTTCCGGAACAAGTGCTTCACTGACGAATTTTGTTCGAACCACAACGCTGTAAATACAGCCCGTCCTCCAAACAAAGATCCAAAAGTGATTCCATGCACCCACCAAACCCCCTGTTTATGAGTGAAAAACGGTTTACACACGACTCACAACTGCTGGCGTTCGAACACTTCCGGAACAAGTGCTTCACTGACGAATTTTGTTCGAACCACAACGCTGTAAATACAGCCCGTCCTCCAAACAAAGATCCAAAAGTGATTCCATGCACCCACCAAACCCCCTGTTTATGAGTGAAAAACGGTTTACACACGACTCACAACTGCTGGCGTTCGAACACTTCCGGAACAAGTGCTTCACTGACGAATTTTGTTCGAACCACAACGCTGTAAATGCTTCACCCACGTACTACAAATACAAATAATCGCTAACAGAACCTGAACACCTAACCTAACCAATGCCTAAATATGTACAATATGCTAATATATTATAATATTAATTCATATTTGAGAAAATTCTTGTTTTGAATGAACAGCATGTTAAAATTAATGAACGTGTCTTTAGGGTCGACCGCTGGATGGAATGGTATGGAATGGACAGGTTATTCATCACAGTTCAGCTTAAAAAAGAAAACCCATCCTTCTTTCCAAGCTGTAAGTCAAATGCTGACTTATATAGATTTATTAAAGTCAATATAACTTATAGGTTGTGAAGCCGACGGCCACACCGTCGGGTTCACAACCTATAAGTTAAACTAAGTTAAATTTACCTATAAGTTAAACCTATAACCAACGGTTTAACTTTAAGTTAAACTTATAAGTTTGTTTGGGTGATGAGCTGTGAAATCATTGTCCAAATGCTTCGTTAATTCCTCTATTTAGAGCGCACGTCTCTAATCATCTCGTCCTCTTGATCAAGGATTAAAAGCTTGTTAATCCATCATCCAAACCACGCTGTTTATGAATGCAAAACACTTTATACATGATTATATAAAAAAAATTATTTGACATTAAAAAAATTAAAACTGCTGATTTTCAATTCACATGACGTTAAAGTTGCTGAATGAATGAGTTGACAACTAGGCCTATCATGATAAACCGAGCCTATCATGGGCCGAGTTATGAACAAAGTTTTTTAAAATAGTTTACTGCATAAATGTTCATTTCTATTCGCGAAAATATAGTTTTTATAGTTACATTGTGCATTAAAATTAGCGAATGTGTTTTTGCGGCCGATGGAAATTTGGATGGGCGGTCTGTCGATGATTATGAGGACAGGCTTATGAGGAAGTGCTTATGAGGACAGGCTTATGAGGAAGTGCTTATGAGGACAGGCTTATGAGGAAGTGTTTATGAGGACGGGCTTATGAAGAAGTGCTTATGAGGACGGGCTTATGAAGAAGTGTTTATGAGGACGGGCTTATGAAGAAGTGTTTATGAAGAAGGACTGAATTATATTGATTCAAATTACATATGTGAAATATTTATGGAATGTGCGCGTGGAAAATACGCCAAGAGTGACGTATTTGGCCAATGTATTGAGGCGAAACTATGATAAAAGACTGTCTTTCTTCCAGTGGGGTTCTGAACGTGTTTATTAGATTCTTGAAAGATCGATCTAAACCTTTTTATTCCGTGGGTCAAGTCACAACCCGTCCTCATAAACACTTCCTCATAAGCCCGTCCTCATAAACACTTCCTCATAAGCCCGTCCTCATAAACACTTCCTCATAAGCCTGTCCTCATAAACACTTCCTCATAAGCCCGTCCTCATAAACACTTCCTCATAAGCCCGTCCTCATAAACAAAGTCCAAATACTCATTAATCCTCCCGTCAAAGACCCTGTTTACAAACGTAACACGCCTTGCCCACGACGCACAACAGATGACGTTCGAACGTTTCTCAGTGTTGTGCTGACGTTTTCTGCTTGTATTGCGCCTGTAAACGTCGCCCTAACACCAACAAAAACAACAACAACACCTGTAAACGTCTTCCATCAACAACACCTGTAAACGTCTTCCAACAACAACACCTGTAAACGTCTTCCATCAACAACAACATCTGTAAACGCTTCACCCAATAATTTCCTATAAAACCGACAGACAATAAACTAATCTAACCTAGAAGTAACTATAAAGCAAATTCTAATGTATAACAACGTTAAATTATGTTGAAGAAAACGGGGATTTTGAGTACACGATGATGGGTTAAAAATGAAGAAATGCGTCTTTGGTGGGGACGTCCGCCGCTTGAACCAGCCTAGCCTGATGTCGGGTTGTTGGAAAATACAGTCATAGTGTATGATGAGTGAGTCATTATGTATGATGAGTGAGTCATTATGTATGACGAGTGAGCGCTGCGCCGTGCTGAGAGTGACGGTAACACGAAATGTTTATCTGGGAAAAAAACTTTCACCGCTTCTGATGGAAAATTAGAAACAAGTGTTAAGTCAAGAAGAATTTTACTGGGACTGAATGTTATAATATTAATGCCTGATTGTTTACAGTATAAAAAGTATTATAAAGATTTAAAGGTCTGCAGGTACCTTAATTATTCGACTATTGTTTGGCAATGTCCTAAATGTGTACTGAAACTGTCTTTTGAGTTCGGCGCGAGAGAAACTAAGGCCGACACCCTCGCTCCTGCTCTAGATGGTAAAGTGTAGTAGACTCGGGAAAGTTCAGTGTCTTACTGGATATATGTACCAGGACTCAACAAAAGGACACGACAAAAGATTATGACACCAGGATATGACACTAGTACGCGACAAAATGATATGATACCAGGACATGACACCAGGATATGACACCAGGATATGACACCAGGACACGACACCAGGATATGACACCAGTATATGACACCAGGACACGACACCAGGATGTGACACCGGTATATGACACCAGGATACGACACCAGGATGTGACACCAGTATATGACACCAGGATACGACACCAGGATGTGACACCAGGATATGACACCAGGACACGACACCAGGATGTGACACCAGTATATGACACCAGGACACGACACCAGGATGTGACACCAGGACACGACACCAGGATGTGACACCAGTATATGACACCAGGACACGACACCAGTATATGACACCAGGACACGACACCAGGATGTGACACCAGTATATGACACCAGGACACGACACCAGGATGTGACACCACGACACGACACCAGGATGTGACACCAGGATGTGACACCAAGACACGACACCAGGATATGACACAAGTATATGACACCAAGACACGACACCAGTATATGACACCAAGACACGACACCAGGATATGACACCAAGACACGACACCAGGATATGACACCAGTATATGACACCAGGACAGCACACCAGGATATGACACCAGTATATGACACCAGGACAGGACATCAGTATATGACACCAGTATATGACACCAGGACAGGACACCAGGATATGACACCAGTATATGACACCAGGACAGGACACCAGTATATGACACCAGTATATGACACCAAGACACGACACCAGGATGTGACACCAGGATACGACACCAAGACACGACACCAGGATGTGACACCAGGATACGAAACCAGGACACGACACCAGTATATGACACCAGGACACGACACCAGGATGTGACACCAGTATATGACACCAGGACACGACACCAGGATATGACACCAGTATATGACACCAGGACAGGACACCAGTATATGACACCAAGACACGATACCAGTATATGACACCAGGACACGACACCAGGATGTGACACCAGTATATGACACCAGGACACGACACCAGGATATGACACCAGTATATGACACCAGGACAGGACACCAGTATATGACACCAAGACACGACACCAGGATATGACACCAGGATACGACACCAGTATATGACACCAAGACACGACACCAGGATATGACACCAGGAAGGATCTCATCATGAACACCGAGAGAGGGGCCCTCTAACTATAACATGTTGTGTCACTAGAATCTGGAGAACTACCAGAACATTATAAGACAACCAATGTAATGCTAACATGTATTAGTGGCTAACATTAGAGGCTAACATTAGGTGCAAACATTAGAGGCTAACATTAGAGGCTAACATTAGAGGCTAACATTAGAGGCTAACATTAGAGGCTAACATTAGAGGCTAACATTAGAGGCTAACATTAGGTGCTAACATTAGAGGCTAACATTAGAGGCTAACATTAGAGGCTAACATTAGAGGCTAACATTAGAGGCTAACATTAGGTGCTAACATTAGAGGCTAACATTAGAGGCAAACATTAGAGGCTAACATTAGGTGCAAACATTAGGTGCTAACATTAGAGGCTAAGATTAGAGGCTAACATTAGAGGCTAACATTAGGTGCTAACATTAGGTGCTAACATTAGAGGCTAACATTAGAGGCTAACATTAGGTGCAAACATTAGAGGCTAACATTAGTGGCTAACATTAGAGGCTAACATTAGAGGCTAAGATTAGAGGCTAACATTAGAGGCTAACATTAGGTGCAAACATTAGAGGCTAACATTAGTGGCTAACATTAGAGGCTAAGATTAGAGGCTAACATTAGTGGCTAACATTAGAGGCTAACATTAGAGGCTAAGATTAGAGGCTAACATTAGAGGCTAACATTAGGTGCAAACATTAGAGGCTAACATTAGTGGCTAACATTAGAGGCTAAGATTAGAGGCTAACATTAGTGGCTAACATTAGAGGCTAACATTAGAGGCTAAGATTAGAGGCTAACATTAGAGGCTAACATTAGGTGCAAACATTAGAGGCTAACATTAGTGGCTAACATTAGAGGCTAAGATTAGAGGCTAACATTAGAGGCTAACATTAGAGGCTAAGATTAGAGGCTAACATTAGAGGCTAACATTAGAGGCTAACATTAGAGGCTAACATTAGTGGCTAAGATTAGAGGCTAAGATTA